CCCTTCTCCGTGCATATTGCACAGAATGAGACCATGATTGGGAGGAGGGATTACCCTGGCTGATGTTAGCTGCCAGGGAGGTGTCCAAAGAAAGCCTTGGTTTTAGTCCAAACGACCTGGTTTTCGGTAACACGGTTTGAGGCCCTTTAGCAACCCTTCACAGTGACTGGCAAGCAAAGGAGGCCCCAAAAAGTATAATAGATTATGTAAATGGTTTCTGACAACGGCTGTTCCAGGCAAACAAAATGGCATGAGAAAACCTAGAGGCAGCCCAAAGTAAAATGAAAAGTCTCTATGATCGGCGGGCGGAACAACGTGAATACATTTCTCATCAAGTTCTAGCACTTTTGCCTTTGGTTGGTTCCCCTTTTCAGGCCAAGTTCTCTGGTCCCCATACTAGCCCGGAAAGTGTCAGACCTAAAGTATTTGATTTCAACCCCTGACCGGAAGAAGTCGGTGCAGTTGTTTCACATTAACTTGTTGAAACCTTATTTTGCTCGTTCTGCTGTGCCAGGTTTGGGGATGTTGATTTCCTCTGTTGCAGCACCAGTGGTTCATTCACCCCAACCTTTTGATCAGGCGGCAGAAGTTGAGGGAGAGTTGTGTATGCCAGATGATGGGATGTTGAGAGGACGTCTCAAAAACTCAGAGTCCCTTGCCGATCTTGATGTAATGTTAAAACATTTACTTGATCCAAAAAATACAGAGTTGGTGAATCTGCTTAAAAGTTACCCTTACCTGTTCAGTGACATTCCATCTCGTATTCATCTTATTGAGCACGATATTGATGTGGGAGAGGCCCAGCCAGTCAGAGAACGTTTTTATGTAAGCATGAACAGTTAGAAGCAGAGGTCAGGTATATGTTAGAAAACAACTTTGCTGAGCCTTGTGCATCCAGTTGGTCTTCTCCGTGCTTGCTAGTAAAAAAATCAGACGGTACATTTAGACCTTGTACTGATCTCAGAAAGGTAAACCAAATAACCAAGCCTGACTCTTTTCCACTCCCACGTATGGAGGATTGCATGCACCAGGTCCTTTCAACGAAGTTTGTCAGTAAGTTTGACTTACTTAAAGGTTACTGGCAGGTTCCTTTGACACCTCAAGCTAGGGAGATTGCAGCACTTATTACACCCAGTAGTTTGTATTGCTACATAGTTATGCCATTTGGTTTACATAATGCCCCAGCTACCTTCTAGCACCTAATGAACAAGGTGGTGTCTGGACTGGTGGGCTGTGCTAAGTACTTGGATGATTGGTGATTTACAGCGACTCCTGGGAAGATCACCTTCAGCTCATCCGGGCCCTGTTTGACCAGTTAGCCTGGGCATCGCTCACTCTTAACCTGGCAAAATGTGAGTTTACCAAAGCAACAGTCACCTACCTTGGTAAGGTAGTTGGCCAGGGGAGGGTGTGCCCAGTAAGGGCTAAGGTGTTAGCAGTTGATCAGTTTCCCATGCCAACAACCAAGAAAGAACTTTCTCGTTTCTTGGGGATGATGGGATACTACCATGGGTTCCGCTCACTTCCCTTCTTAGCCCGAAGGTTAAGTTTGAATGGTCTCTTCAGTGTCAAGAAGCTTTGAGTCTATGACAGTGTTGTTGTGTTCTGTCCCTGTCTTAGCAGCTCCTCAGATGAACCTGCCCTCTTGCTCTATGTGGATGCTAGTAAGGTGGGAGCTGGTGCTGTACTCATGCAGGCCGGTGAGCTTCTTTTCTAAAAAGTTCAACTCACATGAATTGAACTACTCTATTATTGAAAAGGAAGCACTGGCACTCATTTGGGCAATGAAACATTTTGAAGTTTATGTTGGGGTTGGAGTAAGTCTGTTGGTGGTGTACACTGATCATAACCCTCTAACTTTCTTCCACTCTCTCCAAAACCCAAATCAGCGCCTTATACGTTGGTGTCTGTTCCTCCAGCCTTTCCATCTAGACATCGGCCATGTTAAGGGGACTGAGAACACAGTGGCTGATGCCATGTCTCGAGCTATGCCTGTTTAAGTTGACCTGTGTGCGCCCTCCCTGCAGTGTCTCTTCCTGCCCGTTCTGGTTCTCCTCTCTCTTAAACTGATCCCTAGGTACCAAGGTTGCCGTGGGAGGTGGCCTTCACGGTCTTGGAAGGCGATTACCTGCAGGTTGTATGGATATGAACAAGTTCATAGTATATAGCTTATATGGATTTCCCCAGGTTAACGTTAAATATTACAGTGTTTGGATTAAGGACCTTAGCTGTTTAGCTTGGTTATTTATTTGAGAAATGTAAATTGTTTTGTAGCTGTAGTTGGCTTTTGGGGATCCTAGTTAGGACCCCCATTTCAAGGGGGGGGGGGGTGACGACCCTTTTCATTCTCATGGCATGTTGCCTCACTCTTTTCTCTTGAAGTTGTGGGAGGGGAGCTTGGAGGGTGGCTAGTTAACACCTGCCCATTTGGGCAGGGCCTCCAAAAGGTTTTGGTTTGTTCCATCTTACAACACACATTACACCATATTTTCACTCATCCACACACCTCTGACATGACTGATGACTCTTACTCACACACCCCATTTTGTAGTTACCTTGTTTATTCATTTGAGATAAATAAATAATTTCTTGATTGAAGTGTCTGTGTGTGGCCTCCCTTTTTGTTGCCGGCCTTGAGCCAGTTGCTAACACTTGGTAACATGGTGTCAAACTGGATCACTGTCTGCTCAGGGTGGGCTTCAAAGCCAGGATTACACAGGGACACATCCTTTCCCAAATTGCCTATAGCTGGTTTTTAGCATGTTCCTCCAACTCTTCTTTGGAAGCCTGAAGCTTTCTAGTCTTCTTCTCCTTCAGTAGATGCCAGGTGTACTCAAAGGGGCTGTAGAAGTTTTAGTCCTCTCCTTGTCTTTCCTACTCCTGCGCTTGTGAATATGTTCTGCTCTCCTATGCCCCTCTCCAGGTTTTCTTGAGTTGCTACCTCTCCTTCAATAGTTTGAGGAGTTCACCCCCCAAAAGCCAATTTCTTACTTCTACTTATCATCACAAGCAAATATCTCTGGAAATGCATCCGAGTTTTGGAAAATAATGAAATTCTTGAAAAATCATTCCCCTGAATCTCTCCTTCCTAAAATCTGTATGAGGCTTTCAATTATCATTTCATCTCATTTCATGTTTAACACACAGTTCACAACCTTCACCTCCAGTGCTGGTTCTCTATCTGCAGCTTCTTCATCAAATATTTCCCACTCTGGCAATATATGTTCTTTCAAGTCAGTAAGCTGTGGTGAGGTTTAACTGGTCAGTTTAAACTCCAAGGACATAATCCACGCAGTAGTGTATGACTTTTCGCCTGGTCTTTATGAGAAATAGTCATTAAAAATGATCAATAATTATCAATATCGAGTGATGTGATAACATTTTTGGCTGTATCATCCAGCATAACATTTCTGCTTGTCTCACCTTTGATGGCACCATGGGGCCAGATAGAAGGCCATTAGCAGGAAGCTGGATAATACTTTGCCTCACTAATGAAGACATACATTAAAAAAAATACTTTGCACATTCTGTAATTTTATTTTGCAGAGATTCGGTAAATTCTTTAAACAACTGGTTGTAGTTGGTAGACTGCTGGAGGAAATCTGAGCACCTAGAGGAAACACAGAGACACAGAGAACATGCAAACCTCACACGGAGAGAGCTAGCCTGCAACCCAGGAGCCTGTTAGCAGAACGACATACAATATCCAGTTTATTATGTCCACCTACAAAGAAATGCAATGTAATACAATAGTCCTATAATGACTCCTATAACTTCATTAAGGTTCTAATGTTCAAATATATTCATTTATATATCCATTAAATGAAAGAAAATGAAAGTGCAGATCAACAGCAAAGGTGTCACCTGGCATTACTTCATCAGTGCTTGGATAACAGCATCCAAGTTGTCTTATTTGAAGATCACAAATGGCTCAGAGAGAGTGTACTGGAAGACTTGTGCCCTTCATCATTGACATATATAATCATAGCCTATGGGGTTTCTGCCATAACAATATAGTACAAATGAAGCCCCCACTTCCTCATGCAATAACATGCAATTGCTAAAATGATTTTAAAAAAAGAGATAATTTTTTTAACTTTAAATATTTATAATTGAATTGTATTTTGTAATCTGGATAACTTTCCTCCCAGATTAACACAGTGGCCTAATGTATAACTGATACCTGTTACATCAACAAACAGGGTTAGCCTGCAACATTACCGGTCTGATTGGTTTGTGTGAGGGTGGCCTGTAATGGAGTCTGATTCCCTGCGCCTTATTCATCAAAATATCATTAAGATCATTCCCCAAAGTTTTCCAATAATGACAAGATTGCCTCCTATCCCTAAACTGTGGGTGATCTCAAAATGATAAACCTGCTTATTCTTTTTTAAAGGAATGTATCTTCTGATCTCTCTCTCTCTCTCTCTCTCTCTCTCTCTCTCTCTCTCTCTCTGTGAGAGTGTGTATGTGTTCATAATCAAGTTAGCCATACCTGTCTCTATATCCGGAAATATACCACTTTCTGCTTTTAAAAGAAGAGCAAAACTGTGCTAATGTAATTAAGAGCAGATACAATTACAGTAAATAACAAAAGTTACTAACATATACCTTCATTCAGTCTAATTCTTCACTTCTTTATATCATGTTGACGTCATATTCCTCAACATATCTCATTGTTGCAGTGGTGCGATATCACCACAATACTAAGGTTACTAAAAGTGATATTACAGTGAATATTTTAACAAAACACAGAAACCATCTATGTGGCTGGATATCACTAGAGGTAAATATGGTGTTTTTCTAAATGACCTTTAGATGTAGGCGAGTGTTTAGGTGCAATCTTCACCAATTGACGGATGGCGAACCGGTTTTGTTCTTTTATTTTGAAATGTTTGACCGGATAAGTTGTCATCTCACGCTGACTCTGACTTGACACGGTCCGCTTATAAAATGCGCAGCAGCTGCAGCAGCAGGAGGGGGACGAAGGTAAACTGGCGTCAGTCATAGAGCCGCTGCTCCGCTTTGTACTGCAAGTCCTTGTTAAACAATAGAAAGAAAGTTGTAACTCGACGGAACATGAATAAAGAAACACGGTGATACAGCGGAGACAAACAGGGACTGACATAATTTACTACAGTTTCATCACTGTTTTGACCGGCTACTGAAGGTGGTTTTCTCCCACAAATAAAAGTTGGATAACAGTTTTGTCCACAAAATGTGGAGCGGCCAATAGTTTGTTGTTGTTAGCTAAGTCAGACTAAGTCAGAGCTCGCTGTAAGGTTTGTCACCACAGTGTTACGACGGAAAGAGCTGGAGGAGACACAGTGCTACGGGCAGGTTAAGGTAAATGGAACCGCAGTTGTTGTGCTGTGAGGGGGACAGGCCTGCCAGGGCCTACCGGGACTCCAACCTGTTGACTGACCGGGTCTTGCGTGCGCTCTTGCGGGCAGAAGACAAGTATCTCCCCGCTTCGAACTACTTCAAATGCGTCCAGAGAGAAATAGCTCCGTACATGAGGAGGATAGTGGCGACCTGGGTGCTGGAGGTGAGTTAACGCCAATGCATAGCTTTACGTGTTTTACAAAGACAATCATGTTCACAAAACTGGTGTTTCAAGTTGTTAACATGTATTCAACCAAGTTATCTTCTTGTTACAAGAAGGTTTTGTGTTTACTGAGTCACTGGAAACTAGCTGGTGAATTCGGCATTTAAATTACAATATGTGCAAAGTTTGCTATCAAGTCTCAACTTCAGAAACATTAAGACTGCTCACTAGCACTCACCCAGCAGCACACCCTTGGAAGCTGCAAGGGGGGTAAGAGGTGTATGCAGTTTGTTCAAAATGAAAAAGTGAATGAAACCTATGCCGAACTGAAGTTCTGGTCTTGAAAACTCAGTAGTTTAGTTGTGTAGTTAAGTCTTACACAGTCTAACAGATAAACAATTAACATTTTTGAGTTTTCGGTGTTTTTGCAACTGGGAATTCTGCTCTTAATGGATTAACGCACAGGAATTTTGATCATTACATAACATTAACCACTGACACAGTACTGATCCATAATGTATGTATTATAACTATGTTCAGTCTAATGAAAAGGGAAACTATCTGTAAAAATGATGATTTTTAAAGCTGTTTACTAAGTGATAAGTAGCAGAGATCTTCGACAAACGCGAATCTTCGCCGCCTTTATTTATAATTTAATATTTCCATTCACCCACATGTCTGTTTAACTTTAACCGCGTAAAAAGACGTCAAATTCACAGAGAAAGACTTAAATAGCTTATAGTTAAACAACTTACGATTATTTTAAAATACTTTTTGAAAATGTCGCGAGCTGCCTGACCACGCGCTGTCTTTGTGTTGGAGGCGCGTGAGGTTTTACCTCTGATAAAGCTCCGTGTCCATTTAGACCAACAGTTTATCACAGTCACAGAAAAACCTTCTGTACAGGAGTGTATTTTATTGTAATTAATGCTTTGTCTTCTTTTTGATTTTTTGATTTATTTTTTATTTTACATTTAATGGCAGAACCAGGGGGGCAGTTGCACAAACACCTTAAGTTAAGATTTTCCTTAAAGTCTGAGTTAAGATTTCCTTAAAATAAAAATGGTTGCACAAAACACCCTTAAGTCTTCTTCTACTTAAAGTTTCCTTAAAATGTTCACTGAAGTATTTAAAGTCCATGTCCTTATCTTGGTTTTATACTAAAAGAATCACTTTGTCAGTTAAGCTGCTGCAGAAGACCTTAGCAACCAAAGTAAGGAAAAAACTAAAGGTTCCTCTGACTCTATCTTAACTGCAACATGATTGAGTTTATGGTGATGATTGAAGAACATGAACACATCCCAGGAGGAGTGGACAAACCCAATGGACACCGTTTAAAGTTGAGGAATTGATTTTTTACATCACAGATTTGATTGTCAGTCAGTTTATAATTTATCCAACTGCATGTCTAATGAAAAGGTGTTTTGTGCATCTGACCCCAGAGCTTCTTCACTCATTGATGTTTTATATGTTGCTCCATTCAACTGAAAGTTAATTTTTTTTTTTTTTTACTGGATTTGTATCAAACTGTCGAGTTTGTCACCTCACCTGGTTTTCTGAACTGGTCATTTTGTGAAATAAAATTTTATAAATAGATGTAGTTGTAAAATGTATTATTTCTTGTAAGAGGCATCTGCTGGTGGTGTGATGGTGTGGGGAATGTTCTCTTCTTAATACCATCAATCATGGTCCGAATGTCTCAGTCTGAGTATTGTTGCTCACTATTTTCATCCCTTCATGGTCACAGTTCACCATCTTCTAATGGCTCCTTCCAGCAGGATAATGCTCCATGTCACAAACTGCTTTCATGAACATGACAGTGAGTTCAGTGAACTTCAGTCCCCCCCCCCCCCCCCCCCCCAGTTCCAGACCTGAATCCCAGTAGAACACCTTCGGTGATAGAAAAGGAGATTGGCAGTATGACTGTGTAGCTGACAAATCTGCAGAAACATTTTGATGCATGATGTCAACATGGAGCAGAGTCTCAGAGGAAAGTTTCAACATCTTGTGGATCCAAGACGAACTGAGGAACTGCCTGGTGAATAAACAGTATTTAATGGCAGTGTTGTTGTCTGTTTTGTCTGTGCAGGTGTGTGAGGAACAGAAGTGTGAGGAGGAGGTTTTCCCTCTGGCTATGAACTACATGGACCGCTTCCTGTCTGTGGAACCCACCAAGAAGAACCACCTGCAGTTACTGGGAGCTGCCTGTATGTTCCTGGCCTCCAAACTGAAGGAAACAATCCCGCTCACTGCTGAGAAACTCTGCATCTACACAGACAACTCCATCACACCTACTCAACTGCTGGTAGGTCATCAGATTAGGACCTATGGTCATTGAGGCTACACTTATCTTGGGTCTTAAGTATGACACATCTGTTTGTCTGAGTGGTATGGATTTTGTGGTCCCTAGAGGCTGACTCCTCTAAGAGTTTGGTAATCTCCTGACCATGTCTTGATCCTCTACCACAAGGGTAAAAACAGCCACGACTAAGTATCTCAAAAAATGGCTCCGTTCTCATGAAGTTCACAGTAGACATTCTTGGACTTCAGAGGGGTATTCAAAATGGTTTTGATGACCTATGACTTTTCCTCCAGTGCCACCCGAGACCCAGAAATTCCCACGAGTAAACAGAAAAGATCCACCACCATCTTTTTTTAATCCCTGCATCTGTCTGCTTGGATCAAACTTGAACCTGTCCCGTCTGTCCCTCTCTCTGACCTCATCCACTCACAGCAAATGGAGCTGCTGGTTTTGAACAAGCTGAAGTGGGACCTGGCCTCAGTGACCCCTCTGGACTTCATTGACCACTTCCTGTTTGAGCTGCCAGTCAGGACGGACAGCAGGCTCATACTCAGGAAGCACGCTCAGACCTTTGTGGCTCTGTGTGCCACAGGTATGTGTGGGACTACATTCTTATTTAAAAGGGGTGAACTTTCTCTGGGGCACATCCTTATAGCAGTGTGACAGATTCATAAAAACATCACATATGAGAAAAGGTGAAATAATTTGATATGTAATGGTTTTTGAATAAAGCATCAATAATAGTCAGTTTTTCGACACAATTTTAACTCAGAGGAGTGCAGCAGTGACACGATCTGATGACCAGCTATACTAACTGCAGTGGCCCATGTTAATAGAAAAAGGCAGTAATAGGAGGAGGCAGTGAAACCCCTTATGTGACAAAACATCTGAAAAATCAGCTAAAAACATAAAAGAAGTAAAAACTTGTCAAATGCTGATTTTTGTCTGGTCTCTGTTTCCTCCTTGCAGGGTACACTATTGTCAGCCCACTGTATTGGCCCAGAAAAGTACTTGGCCATCAATATTTCTCTTGATTATCTATCAATCGAACACTTACAACAGCTGCTGCTGCTACTGTTCAACCCCATAGTAACACTTGAGTGAGGGCACCAGTTGAGGGAACTTTCAGCTCCTGAATCCTCACCTAATGAAACATCTTTGATTGTTGAGGTTTGAATTCTGAATGTTTTTGTCATCAGTTGTCTAAACGCTGCCATATGAACATGAGGTTCTGTTCTGATGCTCTGCAGATGTTAAATTCATAGCCAGCCCTCCATCCATGGTGGCAGCCGGCAGCATGGTGGCAGCAGTGGAGGGCTTACAGATGAAAATGGTGGGCAATGCCATGATGTCACAGAAGCTGACAGAGAAGCTGGCACAGACCATCAGGAGTGACCCGGTACGTACATCAGTCCATAACATCATCAGTCCACATTCACACTAACTGAACTAAACCATCTGTGACCTCACACTAACTTGAACTGTCGCTGTCTGTAGGACTGTCTCAGGGCGTGTCAGGAACAAATCGAGTCACTGCTGGAAACCAGTCTCAGACATGCACAACAGCAACACTCAGTTACCATGGAAACTAAGAACATCGGTGAGGGGCAGGACCTCTCAACTACGCCCACAGATGTCCGCGACATAAACATCTGACTGAGAAGAGAAGAGAAGCAGGTTGAACTGATGAAGTGGGTGGTCAACACAGAAACACACATGGCTGTGTTTTACATGGTGCAGAGTGTGTGTGTAACGGGACTTGTGTATGAAGACCAGCTGGGACCAGACAGAGATGCTAATACAGTCACATCCAGGATAGCAATAGCCTGAAGACTGGAAGTAGCTCACACTGAAGGACTGGTTGAAAGAGTAACATGTGTTCAGTGCAGCTTTTTACCTTGGGGTAACACTTTCTTTCCACTAGGCCCTGGTCACATAAGCAAGGTGCAACCAGTTCACCAAGGACCAGAAGCCTTGTCTGAACCTCTGCCTGCTCCCAGATTGAAAGACAGGAACTGGTGGGTGCGTTTCGATGCTACAGACCCACATTTCTCCAGTGTTAAATAATTAGACATAAGAATGCTCCAAAGAGCTGACTCAGGAGTAAACAAGTTCTTTACTAAAGGTGAATAATGTGAGATGTATCAAGAGAGACCCACTCCTACTCACAGTGAAGCGTCGGAGCTGGAAATAGTTGCTTAAAACTACCTTATTCTGAATTACGTTTTGCCTTATATTACGTATTATTTATCATGAGCTATACTGAGCTGTACAGTCATTTTAAAACAGCTCTCAGAAGTGTGTGCTCAAGTAAGTAATAAAAAAATGTATTAAAAAAAATAACTTTTAGTCATAAATTTGAAGATTAGGAGTAAAAGTGAAGAAATGTACACTTGTTTCATTTTAAGCAGTTTGATTAATATGGTCCCTGGTCAGTAGGATACAGCGTTTTTCCTCTGAATAGTACTGGCTCAAGTCGACGTGACTACTGCTTTTCTGGTCTTCCATCCTGTGTGTGTGTGTGTGTGTGTGTGTGTGTGTGTGTGTGTGTGTGTGTGTGTGTGTGTGTGTGTGTGTGTGTGTGTGTGTGTGTGTGTGTGTGGCTGAGGTTCAGAATGAGCTGAGGTGAAACAAAACACTGTTGGTCAGAGAATTGTCACTACTGTGTAATCGCTGTGCGAGATGGATGTTCTGAACAAACCCTCCATCTGTAGTCAGTCACTGTAGCCTGATCACCAGACATTTGTCTTCCAGAGCCTAAAGCTCCTTTTTATATAGTTTACAATATGTTGAAAAATGGCGTTCACATAAAATCTTGTGTAACTCTGTGTAAAGATGAGCTTCCTGAATTGGGCTGATAAACTATAGTGTTTGTAAACATCATAAGATCCAACAGGACAGACTGAATGGTGTTATGTTGTGATGTAGTACACAGCTGACACCACTAGAGGGAAGTGCAGTAGTCATTTCATTCTCAGTCTCTAGATTGTCATGGAGATGAGACATATCACATTTCCTTACAGTAACATGGATGAGAGTTAAAATGATTTTAATGTTAGACTGTAAAATAAACTTGATTTCTCTCCACCTGAAGCAGAAGTAGAAAAAGACATTGTGGGTGGAGCTGTCTCTGGTTATTGTCCTGTGTCACTGAATAATGTTATTAAAAGCTTCTGTAACTTGATGTATAACGAGTAGCTTCAGTCCAACAGCACAAAAAGAGGCTCGACCCTGTTCTCCAGGTACTAATGATGAAATCAGACAGCAGACAGCAGGACTTTATTTTACTTCTGATATTTATTGTTTCATTTCGGTCGACTTGTGCAGGAACTTTACAACTTAAAGTTGTACAAAAGAGTTGATCTGGCTTCAGCTGCTCTGTCAACATTACTGGTTCTTCTTGAACAGAGAAGCCACAACTAAACTGTTGTATCTATGAACTGTTTTTATAGTTTTTTTTTTTTTTTTAAGGGTATTTCCCACGACATAAGCTTGTATCAGGTGAAGCCCTATGTTGGTGCTTTTTGTCTGATGACAGATTGTAAAGATGAATTAAAGGACAACTGAAAAAACACCTGTTGTGATGTTTACTTTAACATATCTGGTCTATGTTTCCAGTTTCTAATCTATACTAGTAGCTCAGTGGTCACATTGGACTTAAGTTCAACCAATGAAAAATGATTCTGATGGTAATAAATCTTGATCAGAACAATCACAAACTGATCAATGTGTGAGAGAAGTGTTGCAGTTTGCATACTGGTGCTAAACATGGTGGAGAAACAGAATAATGACTTCAACATTCCCAAATGCAGCACAGTGCTCCTTTCTGACTACTTTTCCTTGATCTCAGTGGAAAATGTCATGAGGTCAAAGATGTGAAGGAGAATTCATGAAGACTTAGGAAAAGAAACTGACTGCAGTTAGAGTAGGATTTTTTTAAAAACTATTTATGGACCATAAATCGTCCTTTCACCACAAAAACAAAGCAAACAGGACTGTAGTGTTTAGATACAATGACATGAAAGACAAATACAAACAGAAAGTTGAGCCATTAAAATAATAATTAAATAGAAATAAGGAACTGAGCAAGAGACTAGAATAAGTTTGTAGTTTCCTGTCATAGGCACTTTTGACATTTCTAAACATTTAAGTAGAGAAAATTCATTTTGAATGCTTTACAAAATGGAGGGGATTTAGTGAAACAAAATTATGTATGTAGTATTTAGCTATGATGAAGATTTTGTTAACAATAGATTCAATCTGCTTGTTCTTCATGACTCCTCACTGGATTTAAAGAGAATGAATCTATATTTATGAATTTGGGCTTCAGTCGATCAGACAAGGATTTCCATCAGTTCTGGATCGTCTCACAAACACAAAACAGCTGCTGCAACTATATAACTGTACTATGAAACTATAATGGTGCATTGGTGCACATTAAATGCCACTGCAGAAAGGAACTGTGGGATGGCATTTCTCCTTTCCTTTCATAAAGGAAGCTCCAGTGTTTCCTATGCTAAAGGAGATAAGATAGGAAGCACTGAAGCTCCTTTCCTCATCATGTAGAGACATGGAGCAGCTCTGATCATGGCTGCTGCTCAGATACTTCAGCTCACTTCACTCAGTTTGAACCTTCATAAGAAAGAAAGACTTTTCAAACACAGCCCTGAACTCGTCCCTGGTCCAGGCTTCAACAGAGGACAGTGGGAGGTGGATCGACTGTAGTTAGGATGACGGGTGTAATGTGAATGTACCTTAAGACCAGTTTCTGTATGAACAATAGCCTCAGCCTGAAGAATATTTCAGTTTATACTGTGCTGCTGCAGACAGAGTGTGGTGCCTCAGGGATGTTAAGACTCTGCTGATTCAGTCTAAATACGCCACAATGCAGCAGATGATCAATGATGAACAATGATCTTAAACAGCAGTTGAAATGCAAGAAACTAAAATTCCATTTTATTGTTTTATGGTTACAAATGATCAGATGTACTGATATCAAACTGTGACACGATTTCTACCACTTTTAAAACTGATTAAAAATCAAGTGAAAATGTTGATCATGAGCTGTCTGTGATATGACTTTAAAGCTTCATCTGCAGCCTCAGCTGTCACTGTTGAAAAATGCTTACCAGGTGTGAACAGCTCCTCCATCCCTGCCATGTTATTGTAGGTCATCATCATGATTTTAGTCAGCATTAATTAGTTCCATGGGTGCTCAGCTCCGAGGCATCTCTTAATATTCCTCATACTTCTTAGTGCCACGGGTGCTCAGCTCCGAGGCACTCCTCTACAGCTAGAATAGGCATCTATTAATATTCCTTCGGGCTTATTATTATTCTTCCGCCAAATTTTGGCGCGTAACTCGTCCCGCAGCTCTGAGAAAACCCCGGTAATGTATACATCAAAACGTGCGTCTTGATCCCGAAAGAGGTGCTATGACTTTTGGTGTTAAAATTCCAATTTTTCCCAAAGGTATTCCCAAAATACTGGGAATAAATAATGCATTAGGAATGCATTGGAATTTTCTTTAGAAACCCACAAAATTTCACCTTTTTTCTACAAAATTTCACCTTTTTTCTGAGTCACCCAGCTCTCTCATACCTGCGCGTAGAAATGTGATTCAAACTATAAAACGGAGGGAAACTTCTGCTCTCTCCAAAACACAACAACTGTTTTTACATAACATGTAAACTTTTCAAACTATGAGCACTCAAAGGAGGAGTGCAAATCACTTTTTCTTCAAAGTTAGAGTGACAGCGTCAGTTGGCTAGAGTGCGTGAAGCAGTAAAAAATAACCTTTATTTTTATTTTTAACTCGAGCTCACGGCCAAACCATAAAAAGGAGACAAATAATTCTTTCTGAAAATGTAGACATAGTTGTTGGGATTCATAAAATGTAACTTTGACAGGCAGGGTCTGCACAAAATTTAAACGGGGGTGCCGAGTCCGGCAGCAATACCTGTCTCACTCTCATTGACACCTAATGTAATCGTCTTTTTTTTTCAAAAGAATCTCACTCTGTCTTCGCACTGAGCTTACTCACTCATTTTAAGGAATATCTGAATAAAATAGAGACTGTAAGAAACTTCTGGCTTCAGTGTCTGTCACGGTGTTTTCGGTTTTTGAAAAGAAGTAACGGTTTTCTCATAATTTGCAATTGTTTTAAGCCATGTAGAAGCCAAATTCTGGGCAGATTTTCACATTGCCATGGCAACGGCAGCTCCTGACCTGTGTGCGTGTGTGCGTGCCTAGCAACCAGATAACCAACTCTCCAAGCTCCGCTAGCTTTACATTAGCCGCATGTTAGGTCTTAAATTACATTTAGTTAGGTCTTAAATATGTAAGTCCATTTACTGCTTCCTTTGTTGCTTTTCTTTTTGTTTTGTTAAATGAGTGAATGAAGTTGTGACGGTCTCTGCTGAGACAGAGGAGAGGAGAAGCTACTAGCCCTCTCTCGCTGTCACTTCTAGTCGCGTTGCTCTCCTCCCCAGTAATGTTAAATTTAGCACAGAAAAAAACATAATAGTGGTAATTTAAATAGCGGTTCATGGGATTTATTAACCCTCAGGGGTCCCTCTGTCCTTTTTTGGACATTTTCTTCACTTTTCTTTTTTGATTTGCTGATCATTTTGGCTGTGTTACAGCTGAAGGTATGGATTTCTGCAAGAAAGTGTCTTTTTTGACATATTTTTAAAATCAGTTTATCTCCTTCTTCCTGTGACATCCTCTCAGGCGCCATCAGACTGGACAGGAAGTGTCTGTCTGTGTCATCTTCAGGTCTCTGCAGATGTTGGATGGGTTCTAATTTGTCCTGAAGACTCTCCAGTGTTGTCTTGGCTGGTTGCTTCAGGTCTTTGTGGAGCTGAAAGGTGAACTATCACTCCAGTCTCAGGTCCCCTGGACTCTGGATCAGGTTTTCTTAAAGGACCTCTCTGTTCATTTCTGACCAGTCTCCCTGTCCCTGCTGCTGAGAAGAGAGGCTCAGAGCCTCCTCTCTTCTGATTGGCTCACCGACCTGTTGTAACTAGAGCTCCAGGGAGAAGGAAATGTGAAACTACATTTAGAGGGTTTTTGGTTCTTAAAACCACAACTATAGCTTTTTGTGGATCAACACTTCAAATGAAACACAGCAGAAGAAGAAAATATGGAGCTTTTAACCACTGAGAAAAGAAAAGCTTGGTAGTAGTTGAATGTATAACAGCCAGCAGGTGGCTGTGTTACCTCAGAGCTGTCAAACTGGTCAGAGAAGAGAAAATCCTCCTCAGGCAGACCAGAATAAAAGGTGTATGAGACTGGTTTAAAATAAAACATGAGGTCACCAGAGGTCACATCCAATTATCAGATACTGAAATCACCAAAAAGAAAGCAATTACAAGACATTATTATAATAAAGTGAAATAATATAACAGACAAACAAAGGCAATCATATCACACATTCCCATCAGCAGCTACAAGAAGAGTGTTGTGCTCATTCTGTCTCTGATATCAGGACCCTGTTTCAGTCTTTGGAACTCACCGGGACTTTGCTCCTTATCTTCAAATAAAAAGGGGAATAAAGTTTATTTTTCATTTTAAATGATGAAGAAGTGAGAACTGAGATTCAATTTGAGAAATATGATGTGTTGGACTTTTATTGTGAAGTTGAAGTAGAGTAACATCCTATGGATGAATAAGAGAGACATGGTGTGTGTGGTGACTTGTGAAATGACTGTCTGCAGTCATTTCTTAAGATGTTTATAAACCACATGTACTCTTACACCATGACGGCTGGAAATGAGCTAAACAAACTTATCAGCTATCTGAGTTCAGCCATAGCAGAACCATGGAGACAGGTGTAGATAGCAATGTGGGTCTAAGTGAGTATGTTGTTAAGGTCGGAGGATGTTTATTGTCATAGTCACAATAATAAACACATGGTTAAGATTATAGTTAAATGAGTGTGAAATGAACAGCAGTCTCCTGTTCTAAAGTCCAATGTTTTATCAATCATTCCTCACTGGACTCCCCCCCTCACTCCTGTAACAAGCACTACTGAAAAGACTAATGCTGTCTTAACATGACCGCTATGTCACTTCACAATAAAATGTACAGTGGGAAACTGTTTGCATTTTCTTAGAACAGTCTCCATATATTTCAGGAAAACATACAAAACAAAACATGCCATAAAGAAAGTGTTTTTCCAGAGATTTCATGTAATTGAATTTAATGAACTTTAATAACCTCTTAAATCCCACTGTCCTACTGCAGAGTCAAAGTACAAACTCAAAGTCCAGTCTGTAGATCAAAAAACTCAAACTGCTGTTTCCAAGGTCAAGAATGAACTATTTTTTTGTTTCTGTAATTAATTAAATTGATAAGATAAAATAGTTTTAAAAAAGTTTGAAAAAGTTTTATATCAATTAAAAAAAAATAAAAACAAAACAAGAAATTTAGACATTTTTTTCAAATGGGGGCCATTTGAAAAAACTTCTTGGTCTTCTCTTGTTTTAAGTTGAAATCATCTTATTTAAAAGATTCCACATCAATTCAAATTTTTATGGCTGTTTCCAATGATGAGGATAAGCATACATGAGATGTATATTTATATTTATATTTATATTTATTTACAGTGTCTATCAGGAAAAGAGGAACTTTGTGGTTCCACCCTGTAACAGGAAATGAGGTGTAGGTACCAAACATACCGTCCTCCTGTTCATGTGTGCAGCAGCTCATTATGACCCACAGACAGGTGTTACTGTCAGGTGACCTCTGTATAATGACAAGAGCAAAGGTGAAGTCAGGTGACGTGGTACAAAGAGCAACATGTCAGGATGAGGTTGGGGTGGACGGGTGATGACCGATAGCAATGTTTGTTACCTGTTTGAAAAACATTGTAGTCCTCTGTAATCCTCTGAATTAAGGGACTACCACCCTATGTGGTCATGTCAGTTGAAGGACTTATCCCATCCACCACAATTGGACTATAGGTGTGATTGAGATCCATGAACAGTGACCTGGCAGGTGGTACAGTATCCAACCTGACATAACTGACTTTCTGCACCTATTGCTGAGGTGGAAATAAGATGCAAATATTTACATATTGTCACCTTATGAAGTTAAAACTGTTGCCTATTTACACATCAAACACAGAGCAGCATTAGCATTCAGTCAGAGTTGTGTTTGTGTCCGCGTGGTGATTCAATATTCCCTCTCTTTTAGCTCTCTGTTTGGTCTCCAAGAGCTCCTGAGAAGAATCTCTGGCTCTCCAGCCACTAAACGCGCCACTGTTTTCACCAGCTGGTTACAGCTGTTTACAGTGAACAGCGCTGCTGCTGTTTGAAGGCTGAGGCTTTGAAGGCTGAGGTCAAATCAAAACAATGAGCTAAAAGAGGCTAAAAGCTCCATGAGGCTGAGAGGGACTGCACTGGGTCTGTCACTGTGAGCAATTCTTCACACAATGTGGAAAAGTTACGAAGTCATGTAATCCATTGTTAGTATGAAAATATTGATTAGTGCAGCTTTAAATAAAGGTAAGTTATAGCCTGTTACTGCTCACACAAGAATCCATTTAGATGCAGCTCCTGTGCTAAAGAGCTGTGTCAGACTGGTCTGTAGTGTTGGTCCAGTCTTCATGTTGCTCACAGATCAGTCTGATGTTTGTCAGACTGTTTCACTAAAATAAAGACTGACTCATTTTAAGATACAAACATTAGACACCTTACCCCAAGGTGAACTCAGGCCTAAGACCAATGTTACCATGGTAACAATCAATGACCTGCCCTGACAACAACATAAAAACAGGGAAACATGGCTCATGATTTGTGGTTTGCTAACATTGTTATTAGGAGAGTAATGAGAAGGGAAGGAGTTTTTAGAGACCAAATCAGATTTATCTTTTTACTGTTTTACCCTTCAAGTAAAATGTCCTTGTAACTGTTAAATTCTTCCAACATTTTTTGCTGAGGTAAATGGAGTTCAGCGGTTTGATGTGGTGTGATTTTTTTATTTTGAAAAAATGTCTTAATTTACCCACAATTCATTGTACCACAGTCCGGCTTGAGATAGTCAAGAACTAAACTGCAACTTGTGCAACAGATGAGTTTACATGTCTGTCTCTGTGAAACCAGCCTCAGTATTGGGGCTGGTGCTCTTTGGTCAGCTGACTGATTGTGACAGGCTTCAGTACATTGTGTCCGGCTGTCCCTCAGCAATCCTGAAGACAGGAAGAGGCAGATTACTTATTCACTGGCAGTGGGGTAACTTCATCTTTCTGCAGCTAAGGTTAACCACACACTTTCCACATGAGTCCTGACATCATCATAGGCTTACTAATTATCTAACTACACTGGAAGAAGACAAAAGGTATATCGCACTTCCTGAATCACCACATTTCTGACATGTTGCATAACCAAACATACACTGCCAAAAGGCTGAGCAAATGTCAAGGCAAATCAGCTGTTTGCTCATGAACAAAGGTGGATTATGAGGCTAGAGATGACTGGCAGCTTTTGGTATGAATGAAACTTTATTGACAGACACACAGACAAACCTCAGTCCTGGAGTCCCAAAGGAAACAAATGTCACTACAAGTCAAACAGGGACTCTTCAGGACTGGTGCTGGCCAGCTCATAAGAAAACTGGTTATGTAATGAAACATTATGTGAGGGTGGTCCACATATATACTATTATATGTGCAATAGATAATAGGTAAACATGTACAGTACACACCTATACTGAGAGCATGACGCACACAGGACTAGCATTACAGCAACACTGAGCTCTCACATGTTCAGTCAGTGTCAGAAGAGAGCAGTCAGACAGCAGCTGGGTTTGACCGCTGAGCAGTGAACATGTCAGTGACACTGGAAGGCAACATGTTGGTGACCGGCAGCAACCGAGGCATCGGTTTGGAGCTGGTCAAACAACTGGCAGAGAGGACAGGAGCAGAGGCTCACATATACGCCAGCTGCAGAGAGCCTGAGGGAACCAGGGCTGAGGTGAGACACTCACACATTAGCAACACACACAAACACACACACGCTGCTACTAATGTGTGAGCTGATTTACAGCTTCTCCATGAGCTCCGTGAACTTCTGTTGTGATTTGGTGTTGCCACATAAGAATGCAATAAGACTGACTTTAATATCCCTGAGCACTGAATGACCATGATCCATCTGTGTGGAGCTTCTAATGTGTTTTAACCACTTATTTAACCACTTGAACACACATCTGTCTCCTAAATATCACCTCAAGTGTCTTGAATTCAAAAATATTGTCACATATACAGTAAATTACGATTTTTTTTTTGTTTTTTGAGCAATGTCTTTGTGAAAACAAGTTTTTATGGCTGCACTTTCTATCAAATTAAAATTATTCTGTTCACGTTTTCCCTCAAAAGATTCTACTTTATAGTAATTTTAATGAAGCATGCAGAAAACAACAGGAATTATTTTTCTATACAAATAAAGTCCTGTTCTTTAGTTGCCAGCTGGAGTTTACACTTTGAAAATGGCTACAGAGTTGTGTATTGTACTCAGCTGTGTTTCGGCTCAGATGATTGGCTAAAAATGACTTTCAATGGAACTTTTCATACAATTTATCATAAACCTTCAACTTCGTATGAAAGAGACTTTTTTGTTCAGTTTAACATTTTGAGTGCAAACCCCACTAGTGGCATTCTTCAGGGACATTGTAAAGGACCATTTTTATTTGTCATTGGGGAAAAATCATTTTTCCCAAAAATCTATTTATATTTTTCTAAATGGTTTTGCCAGAAATATTTTCTAGATAAACATTTTTGTTACCTGAGTTGTGGCCAGTGTTTCTGAAAGGTTGGGATACAAAATGCTTTTCCCCACTGTCTCATGCCTATGAGTCACTTATTCAATTTAAAACCAAAACATTATCTTTCCCGACCAAATGCTTAGAGTTGCCAAAGAACAACCATGAAAAATGTTAATCACACTGTAGTTGCTATGAACAGATCTTTTAATTTGGAGGAATAAGTTCTCCAAATTAAAAGTCAACTGTCATTTGTCCATGCTGTCTAGAATGCCAAAAAAACCAAACATGCTAGTGTCATCTGACTTCCCTCATTGCTCCTGTTATAATCACTAAAGCTGTTAGGGGGCGCTGTCACTTGAATGTATGCAGTTGTCTGTTTGGGCCACTTGAACTTACTGAAACAACCAATAGTGTTGTTCCTCTTGGAGCACAGTCCTCCAGGGAAAACAAATTAAACGACATTTTACTGATACAATAAGTAAGAACATTTTGTGACTTTGCACTTGTAAGTTAAGTTCCTTGAAAATTAATTTGCTATTGCATCATATCATGTACAGAGACGTAATATTTAGTGGATGGGCTTGTCCTGGACTGAACACCAGTAATTCAACAATACAGTGAAACATATTGTGAAATCCACAGCTGATCCACTGGAAAGTGAACAAAGTCCCTACTAAATGTTAACCTTCACTTCATGTAACAAACAAAAAAAAGCATGGTGCTTTGGTGAATGCATTTACTGAGGGCAGAGCCAGCGCAGAGACTGAACAGTGTGCATTCATTGGAAGAAAAACCCAACAGGGGCTGTGTTTGAAAAGTCTTTCTTTCTTATGAAGGTTCAAACTGAGGGAAGTGAGCTGAAGTATCTGAGCAGCAACATGATCACAGCTGCTTCACTTCTCTAAATGATGAGGAAAGGAGCTTCAGTGCTTCCTATCTTATCTCCTTTAGCATAGGAAACACTGGAACCTCCTTTATGAAAGGAAATGAGAAATGCTGTCCCACAATTCCTTTCTGCAACAACTTTTAAAACAATGCATCACTGTAGTTTCACCAGAGCAGACCCACATAAATGTAGAAACATCAGAGCAGCTGTTTTGTGTTTGTGAGACGATGCAGAACTGATGGAAATCCTTGAAGCCCAAACACAACGAGCAGATTGAATCTATAGTTAACAATATCATAGCTAAATACTACAGTCTATACATAAATGTTATTTCACTAAATCCCCTCCTATTGTGTGAAGCACTGAAAATACATTTTCTCTAGTTAACAATTGTATAGAAATGTCAAAAGCACCTATGACAGGAAACTATGTCTGCATATAATTTATTCTAGTCTCTTGCTTGTTCCTTATTTCTATTAAATTATCATTTTAATGGCTCAACTGTCTCTATTTGTATATTTCTTTTAGGTTTTCTTATTTCAACATTTCAATCCTGTTTGCTGAGAATTTATTGCCCACATGTTATCAATAAAGTTAGTTTAAAAAAAGCTTATAAGTGCAGTAAGACTTTCCTTATGAATTTTCCTTCACATCTTTCCTTGACCTCATGACATTTTCCATGGAGGTTGAGGAGAGGTTTTGACCACAGTCAGGGACTCATTGAAAAAATAGTTTTGAAAAAAGTGTTATAATGCACATGTTTTACCATAGTATTCATACAGTATGTGTACACATACTGTATGTATTGCATATAATTAATCTTGTAGGTATTTTGTCGGTCTATAGCCATATGTTTTTGTCTGCAACTGAATATCACTGATTACATTACTATATTCTAGATCTGTTGATATCTGTTTTGTTGTTACTGTAAAACCAAGTGTTGTGTTTGGACACACCAGCGGGTACCACTGAATTCACACCAGTTTACTGCCATGACAGAGGTGAAGAAATAATGGCTGCTGTAGTAAACAACAGTTTCCTGCCATTCACTCTTCCCTCATCATATCTCCCTTTCTCTCTGTTCACTCAGGCCCTGAGAGAGCTCACCACTCAACATCCTGGAAAGATCACTATAATCCAACTAGGTAAACACAACTCACCCTCATGTGTCAGAACTGGAATACAGCACATTTCCAAAACACTTCAGAGATTGGCCATAAATGATACAGTTAAGGTGACTATAAATGGATCAACAACTTCACCACAAATACTGATGTTCATCTAATTTAGTGTTAAAATATGATCTGACAAATATCTGCAGATGGCCAACCCATCACTGTCACAAAGAAAATGAATAGTTATTAGTGTTCAATAGAAACAGAAACGTTTCTCCACCTTTCTCTGTATGTCATCCTGACTGATCCTTAGGTGGGACAGTTGGTATGTTTATTTTCTTCCTCTATATTTATTTATATTTACTACTGTATATATCTGCTCTCATATGAACTCAGAGGTTGGTTGAAGAAAACCTTTAATTGTCTCACTTGGCATTGAAGAGTGATGGTGAGGTGCAGGGAACTTGATTCCTATTCAGGAGGTTTCTCTCAAATTGTCAAACCTTAAAGACCCTCTGACAAAAATCAAGTGTTTAACCTCGTTAACATTCATTTGATGTTTTTATATAATACGAGACATACTGTATGATGAGTGAAACAATCATCAACACCATGACTGAGTGTTTCCACCTTGAACTGCAGTGAACCAATGACAGTCTCATAAAAACAGATTCAGACAGCCAGGGTTTCATATGTCACAAACCTAAGGAGGGGGAGGGGGGTGGGGCAAAAAAAACCTTAAACCTTGTGTACAGAGAGAGAGAGAGAGAGTTAGCATTAGCACACACACTAACACTGTGTCAGCCACTGCCAGTTATAAGCTAGCAAACAACATAAACAAATAAAAGATGCTAACTGCGCTAACCGTTCTGATCCGTCTGCTAGTCTCTGGTTCTGGTCTCAGACTCCTCATCAATTAGAAGAAGTTAGAGGCCGGAACTTGATTCCGGAATCTGAAGACCTTAAAATCTTGATACTGTCTCAGTCCTGACACATATCACAGTTCATCTACTCTCCCCTGTTCTTCATTCAGGAAAAACTCATTAGAAAAAGTAATCAGGTTTACAGGCCATAACTGCTGTCTGTGCTAACTCTGAATATACTGTACTTTTTTGATTTTAATACATGCTAATGAAAGAGCAGGAACCCTGCTACTTTACTGTACATTAAACATCAGAATCAGAATCAGATTTATTTGTCACTACCAATAGGCATTTCAGCATACATGGAAGCGAAATAATGTACTAACATTTGTGTGACATGAAAACAAAAAACATGAAAAGAGAGCAGTATTAAAAACATTTTATAAGAGCAGCTTAAGATAATCTATAAAAAGGTGCTGATGCAAACAGGTGTGCAAACAGGAAAGTCAAGTGGACACTTAAGCCGCATTTAAAAAAAAAAAAAAAAAAAAGTACCTGGAGCTTTTGGTTCCAATGGAAGTAAATGCACTACAACTCCAGTCCAGTAGGTGGTGGTAAGAAGAAGATGAAAGATATACAACAACAATGACGCCATAAAAGCGACGGACAGGCCGGCATCATCATTTGTGCGACACTACAGTTAGCCTGTTAACATGGAGGAGATTCAAGTTGTGTTGCTGTTCGTGCTTTATTGCATTGCAAACGGATTCATTGCATCAACACTGGAAATCAAAACAAAACTTGTGGGCTTTTAAATATGGCAGGTGAAATAAAATGCAGCGAGTACTTGACCAATCAGAAATGTTCGACACTGCAGACCACACCCCCCAAAGTTCCTGAACCTTTGGAAAGTACTACCCCCGACCAGGGACTTTTTTGGGGCTCAATCAATTATTAACTAAATTTAGACCCTGGTTCCTGCGGTGGAAACGTGCATAGTTCCTCAATAGGTTACTGGTTCCTAGGGAAAGTTCTTGCGGTGGAAACACACCGACTAAGTACTGGTGCATTTTTGTGCATGTCACCCTCTGGTGTTGGAGGAAGGGATGGGGCAGCATTTTCCTTCTAGATGGCAAGAGTGCAATGAGGTGGTGGGAGGTTTTTTCAGTCTCCACAGAAAGTAGAGGCATCACTGGGATTTCTTGGTGAGGGCTCTTGTGTTGATGGACCAGGTCAGGTCATCAGCGATGTGCACCACCAAGAACTTAGTACTGCTGACTTTTTCCACAGCAGTGCTGTTGATGATCAGCAGGGTGTGCACACTGCACCCTTCCCTGGTTGACTACCATCTACTTCGTCTTCTCCACATTCAAGGAGAGGTTGTTGTTGCTGCACCACATAACCATTTACTTCACCTCCTCTCAGTAGTGTGCTTCATTGTCATTCGTGACCAAACCCACCACTGTTGTGTCATAAGCCAGGGTAAGGAATTTGCCTGGTGTGCAGGACAAGCTGAGCAGAGAAAGAACCTGAAGGTACGTCAGATGCTCTGGGAGACCTCTGAAGATACGATTTCCTTTGATCCGTTGGCTTTTCCACAAAGTGTTTTGGCCTGTCCTACAGCAGGACCTTTTGTTGCAGTTGGGTGGGTGGGGGGTAGGGCAGTGCATTTTTATCCATGATCACATTCAGCTATGTTTTTGGCCCTTGAGAGACCAGACTCAATATGAAGTTCCAATGAGGCTGTGGTCCAGACCAAGGTTCATATTATTACATTAAGACATTATGTGTATGATTATGACTCAGACACCCCCAAAAGAGCTAAAAACAACAATTGAAGGGGGGTTGAAATATTTATGTAGCTTTCTTACCTGTAATAACATAATAAATGTGAAATAATGTGAAATAATAAGTTAAGATGTCATAATAATACAATAAGTATAATAAGTAATAATAATAATAATAATAATAAAAGTTAAGAAATGTGTGAAATAATATACTTCCCATATTCATGCTGGGAAGAATCTTGTGATACAATTTCATACACTTAAGTGGACCATACCATTTCTTAAGTGTGTCAGCTGGGTTAGTTGGAGGGTGTAGGGAGGGTTGTGTGCAGGTCCTTCATAGATCGTCTCCACCTCTCTGGTGTTTCTGCTGACTGACATCTCCTGGGCTTATTCCTGCACCTTTGCCCACCTCTACACTTTCTGCAGAGTTTACATCCAACTCTGCTGCAGCAGAGTAGACGTGTGCTGATGCTGTATTTATCTCTCTACAGCTGGATCGTTTTACCTTCCAGTGGATAAAATTAGCAGCTGGTGTGTGGTTACAGGGAGCCTAATTTAGACTGTTTTGCTGACACTTTCAACACTTGTTATCACAGAGATGACACATTTTTGACAGTGGAGAAAACATCACACGTGGAAAAAAGTATGGTGCATTTCCTCACCCAGACCTGTTTATGCTGTTTATACACCTCAGTATTTAAAGGCAAAAACTTCCTGCAAAACATGTTTGTCTGCCTCCTCCACTCAAACCAGTTTCAGTTTACATCCCTGTTTATCCAGAGTCATACCATGAACCATTTGTGTGAAACTTTGTCATAATTGACCTTTGACCACCAAAACCTAATCAGTTCATCCTTGTGTCCCAGTGAACATTAGTGCCAAATTTGCAGAAGGTCTGTCAAGAAGTAACTGAGATATCATGTCCATAAGAATGGGACGTATGGACAGACAACCCGAAAACAATATGCCTTCTCTGACTGACTGTCGCCGGTGTGGAGGCATAATGATGGGCTGATGATACCATCAGCATCCACTGTATGCAGAGTCTATCCAGGGAAGGTTTCCATGTCTGGTTTAGATATCAATAATAAATATAGTTGGACATATTTTGTTTTCTCCATCACTAGTAGATACGTTTCCATTAAGTCTGCAGAGAAACATGAAGGAAGAGAGAGAAATCCTTCCTGTAGACCATCATGTAGACAGTGTAACCAAGTACTGTACAGATTAAAGCAGTTATATGGAGGTGGTGCTGGTGGTCTTTGTACAGTGTGAACATGAAGCACTTTGTGTTCAGCGGCAAATGCTCTGAGCAGTCAGGCCTGGGTGGTACTGTATGTGTCTATCCATCATATCAGTATATCCACCTTCTTTAAACTGGGCCTTTGTGACTGCATGACAAATCTAACCTTTAATATGCAGTACACACAACATGAGGCCTCATGTAACAAGACTTTTTTTAATCTACTATATTCCTTATGTTTGACTTGAGACAGTGATTTAACTAATGATGACAGATTTGTATGATGTCACCGGGTCACCTGACTTCCACATCTACACTGTCTTTACAGTACATTAAGGACCACAAACAACTGGATTTTATTGTGTTATAATTTATATTTTCATGTTTTGTATGATTTGATGTCAGACAACTAAACAAACTAAACTATCAGCAGGTTTCCATGAGTAATAATCCACACTGAGAAACCTCGGAGGTTGATTATATCTTTGCTGTAGTTTGTACAATGGACTTATAGTTAAATTCAGTAGAGCTCAGACCCTAATGTCAAACAGCATACACCAGACTTCAGAGAAGAAAATCAAATCCATACTAAATGATTCGGATCTGTCCTGAAATTGACCGTGTTCTTCCCTGACCCATGACCCATCCCTCCACTAAGTTCAATTCAGTGATAATATGTGATAATATATCCCCATATAGGTGACATCTATGGCAATATCACTCTTGATATAGAGACATGTATGTCATATATTACATTTTTGTATGGGATGACAAGCACACACATCCCGTCAGTTTGTCTCCCTACAATTAGCTTCCAGTGATCTATAGATCTCTCAGACAATAAGACACGTTTTGTCCTGTGCATGTCCACCTCCAGACACGTCGGATGAGGATAGTATCTCTGCTGCTGTCCGGGCTGTGAGTGAGCAGATCGGAGCTGGTGGATTGAACCTGCTCATCAACAACGCTGCCATCAATAAACCGGCCAAACCAGCACCGTTATCTGCCACCGGGAAGAAGGACATGATGGAGGTGTACGAGACCAATGTGGTTGGACCCTTTCTCCTTGCAAAGGTTGGTTTGTCGTTTCTCTGAGCCTGTAGACACACTCAGATACAGATATCAGCTGCTGTGATCTCAAGTGGGAACTGTAGTATGGGAACTGTAGTATTGAACAAGATGAACTGTTAGATAAGGAAAGCACAATTTCATCACTGCTGCTGATGAAAACAGTAACACAAAACAAAACATTTGATGGTGGACACCTCAGAACCTGGTTATTTAAACACCACAACATCAACTTTTTTTTTTTAAAAGGAATGAAAGAATAATCCGAAATTAATGTTGCAAGCAACGTTATATGGGCCCTCGTGCTGCCAGGAGCCCACTTGAAGCTGCCAACATGCATTAAGTTCCTGTATATCAAGTGTAAACCTAGTAAACAGATAGATAGATAGATAGATAGATAGATAGATAGATAGATAGATAGATAGATAGATAGATAGATAAAAGAGTACACTGGCCACCACTGACTGATAAAACATGTGAAGCATTTCACTGCAGACGTCAAAGGACCTGAGCCTGCTGAGGAAAAAGAGCCGGCTCCGCCCCTTCAGGTAGATGCCTTGAAATGGTAAAAAAATGTGCCATAATTGCACACTAAATTCAAATGGCGGACTTCCATTTGGGTTTAGGTTATGGCTCCACATGCTTACCGATTTTCATACATCTAGGTGCTACTTTGTTGCAATATTCTAGGGGCTCCCTTAGGCCATTTTGCCACACCCATGAACAACATGTCAGTCCATATCAGTAATCGATTTAAGCCATGTCTGATGCATGTGTTGAATTTTGTGAGTTTTCAAGCACCTCTATCCCCTCAAAAATCCCTAAAGTCATTAGGGGGCACTATAGAGCTGACGTGCCACACCCCTGCCCAATTGCAATATCAAAAAAAAACTGTTCATGAGTACAAACGTGTGTGCAAAGTTTCATGTTTGTAAAATGAAAATCGCAGCAGGAAATTCAAAATAGCGGGCTTCCAGTCCAGCGAAATAAATTGTGTTATGATGTGTTCAATCATTCCACCGAATTTCATGAACATTTAATGATGTTCACTATTGAACTATGTGATTTTTGGCGGCCTTGAAGTGTATGCACATTTTTGTGAGTTTTCGAGCATGCTAAGGCCCTCAGGATCTATTATTCCAGAAGACAAATGATAATCTCAGCAAAAACAACAGGTTCCTCACACCTTCAGTGCCAGGCACCGGTGGGACTTGGGCCCTAAATATGGCGCTTGCACATGTGTCCATCATGAACACTTGATACACACACACACACACACACACACACACACACACACACACACACACATACACACACACACACACACAGACCACACCATGGTCCATCATTGTCAGATGTGTAATTACACATCTTCCTTTCTCTCTCTTCAGATGTTCCTCCCTCTCCTCCAGAGAGCAGCAGAGAGGTTCTCACCTGAGGATGATGAGGGTAAATATCTTTTATTTTACGTTGTACCAGAGTTCTAGAGTATTAGAGATCTATGATATAGATAGTAATGGGAAATATAGCAGGGAATTAACTTTAACTTAAAGCTCCATATTTTCCTCTTCTTCTGTGTTTTATTTGAAGTGTTGATCCATAAGAAGATATATTTGTGATTTTAAGAACCAAACACCATCTCAATGTAGTTTCACATCTCCTCTCCCAGGCTTCTCTCTGGAGCTCTAATGACAACAGGTCAGTGAGCCAATCAGAAGAGAGGAGGCTCCGAGTCTCTCTTCTTAATGGCTCACTGTTTTCTGGGTGATCCAATAAAAAATATAGCAGATTTCAGGTAAACACTCAGCGAAACCAAATCCTACAAGGTTGGATGGTGGGTCCAGGTGGGCGGGGTCCTGACGGCTCAGTTTCTGAATACGGGCTGTGTGCATTTCTCTGTGGACTGAGGCTTTGATACTTTCACCTGCTTTATAATCAAACAACACATGAACATCTACCTTCATACTATATGGAGCTTTAAGGATCGGACAGTTCATTCACAGCTGTGTGCTTTGTAACATCTACTCATACTCATGCAGGTGTCCAGTGTGGAAGTTATAACCTGACACTTATCACTGTTACTTTTCTGATCACACTCATGTCAACACTGTTTCCTGCTGCAGCTCCATCCACCACCTCAACCTCCTCCTTATGTGTGATGTTGTTTTACCGTGTTGTTTATTCAGGGGGACTAGCTCTCCCAGTCTGTCTGACAGGTCCCTTTATGATTTCAAAGCTTTATTGATAAATGTAACACAGATTTTGGAACAGAGAAGCCCACAGTGGCATCCTGATGCTGGTGGGGTAGTTTTATCTTTTGTCTCCGTCTCTTGACTGGCACAGTGCCTGGTATAGAGACGAAACACTGAGCTTCATTTCAACTAATCAGCTGACAGTTTATTGAGTGACTGTTGGAGCATCTGTGGAAGTGATCTGAGGTCTTCTTCACATGGCGGGCAGCATGAGCTGGTTGAGTGGTCAATTACTGAACTCTGCTACATGCTACATGATTCAGGAAGTGAATGCAGCCGTTGAGGATGGTTGCCCTGCTCAGGTAGTGCAACTCAGGCAACAGGAATCAGTTGCAACCTTACCTGTGTGATCAGGACATTCTATGGAAGTGGCAAAAACAGGTCATCCATGCTCACAGAGTGACTGTGCCAGGGCTGAGTTTAGGCTGTATCTTACTGCTGTCATGTTTTCCTTTTAATAACCACACAGATGAGGCTCGAAAGGGACAAGTTAAACTGTGTGGCGTAACACCTGGGGAAACTAAAGTTGCAACAGAGCCGTAACACTCTGTCCCCTTCCACATCTGTGTAACCTACAGGGATAGTCCAGTTCACTCATGTTCACCCAGGTCTTGTGCTTCAACTCTGAAGTACATTTCACTCAGACTGTGCCCTGGTCAAAGATCCTATCTATGGACAGTACATTGCCACATGAGACAGATTGTCATGATTGGTTGGAAATGGAACTAGAAAACAAACAGAGGCAGGTCAGCTAACAGACATGTTAGGAAAACCCTGTTATAAAAATGGCTTATCACAGCCACCAACTACAGATATGTTGAATGGAGAACAAACACAACTTACCTCAAAGACTTTGAGGGGCTCAGCACTTCTTTGTCCCTCCTGTACATCTGATAGACAACAGAGAAAAATACAGAATAGCAGAATATAAGCAGATTTGATGAAGATGAACAGCTTGAATCACTTTCATTCATGTGTTATAATAAGTAATGTCTGTAATTTGAATTTATATTATAGTTACTGTGTGGTAGTACAAAGCAGTATTCTCTTTGTGTCACTGTTTCTGTCTGTGTGTCAGATGATATGATGTCCTGCAGGAGGTCAGCCATCATCAACATCTCCACCATCATTTCATCTGTGAAGAAATGTCCAGAGACCTTCTCCATGGCTCAGATGTATCCTTACAGGACCAGCAAGGTACAACTGACTTACATAAAATCTGAATCTCACAGGGTAAATACATTATTGAGGGAGTATTTAAAGTAACAGCACTGAACCCTCACTTCATCTATGGAAGACCAAAAGCGGTGTGAGTGAAAAAATTTGCAGCTGAAGTTCGTGGGTGCTCTGATGAAGATGGCATAGATGAAATTGACAGCTGGCAAACAAACTTTATTTAAACAAAGCAAACAGACACATCACTCGGTATCTTTGCGCCAAATGACCACAAGTAAGTTATAAGTTAACCACATGAAATCTTTAAAATTAGTGACGTTAATGTTACCGACTGATTTGCATCAAGTCGTCAAGCAACACTGTCTTGAATGCTATGGCACAGGTTAGCATGCAACTCGCTTCTATTTCACTAAATATGTTAGACCCACTCACCTGGGACACCCACAGTGTCAGACATGTCCCTGTAAACAAACGGGGACACGTTGTAAAGGACGGGGGAAATCATTGTTATAATTATTATTATTATTATTATTATTACCATTATTATGAATTCCTCCTCCATTGTACTTGGAAACAATTTAGTTTAACAGTTTAAGTGGATGTTTGATTGTCTCTGCATGTATGCTTTGTTGACAATAAGACAAATATAAAATGTTACCAGCATCCAACTTGTGCATTTAGTACTGACAAAATAAATGATGAAAGTTTATATACAGTACGTAGAGACGGTGACAAATTGAAGGAAAACCCTGGATAAATGCACTGCATGGTACAGGTAATATTAACATCTCATTATGCTCTGGGGCAGATGTAAAGATACTGATCAGACCCAGTTGATTCTGATTCTGTATTAAGGGGAAAAGATAAGTCAGATGCTCAAGATGATCAACTGACTTCTGTTTCCATAGTAACAGAGACGAAAGTGAGATCTACATTTAGATCTATGGGACAGACGTCAATAGTTGTTCTTGGAGAATGGTCCAGGTCTGATCGCTGGACCTCTACAGTGAGGGGATGGTGGTTTGGGTTTGTGTCTGTGTGTTAGAAAATCTACTTGTCCAGGAGTAAAGACGTTAAGGAAAAATAAGCTACAGTGGGGTTTGAGGTGAAACTTGTAATTTCATTTTCTTGACATTTAGACCACTCCCACTTCAGCATCCACTTTTAAGCCTGCCCTCAGTTGGACAGTATGTACAGTATATGTACAGTAATGCTGAGCAGTGCTCTGGGTGTGAAGGACAGTATGTTTCAGTCTCTCTGCTCCACCCCCTCAGACGTGTGTGAACACACCCTGTGATTTATCTTCTGACTTTCCTGTCAGTGCTGCTGCACCTGTTGGGGTGGGAAAATGTCCACATTCATCATGAGTGTGTCACATCTGTTGACCATGCATTACCTCGGACCTGAGCAGAGGTTTAATGAGAATGAGTGACAACACTGTGAGTGTTCAGAGCCTTTAGAGTTGTAATGAAATGCAAAGCAGCTATTAAATAATGTAATATTATTTCATGTGTATTTGTCAGGACAAAATCCACAGATGATCAGTGAAGGGCAGTTTATAATATTGTTATCACAATAAAGCAGCTGCTTTCAGGACAAAAGAAGGTGGAATAACTGAGTTTTGATTGAATAAACATGTGATGGTAAGGTGACCTGACATTGTGTCAGTGGCATTGAATTCATTTATTAATTTAATGACCCTTAAATCATGTTTTCTCTGATGGTTAAATTGCAGTTTTAGAGAGGGAAAAGTTATAAATAAATAAATGAATGAGCACGGCTCTCACAGTTACCTCTGAATAATCATGAGTAAGTCTGTGATGATTTAGACACTGTTATGAATGCTGTGCATGAAGCAACACTACTTTGTTAGACACATAAATCCTTTAAATTATCACAGTGTCACAAAAACCAAGTTTAAATAAACACCACATCATCACTCAGGTTATTTAAACTTCCAAATTTAGTAGTTTTCACAAATCTTTAATAAACCAATGATAAAATAATTCTTCAGAAGGCTGTGAGAGACACTGACTTTGTGAGGAAGAGGGGGCTTCATCTGTAACCGGACTGTTTGTTGGAAAGGGTTAGGGTTAGTATATTAATATATTGAATGTATATTTTTGAACAAAGCTTCTGTCCCATCTGCTGTTGGTCATTAGACAGCGCTGAACATGCTGACTCGTTGTCAAGCTGAGGACTTCAGGAAACACAACATCCTGGTGACAGCCATCCACCCTGGCTGGGTGTTCACTGACATGGGAGGAGAGCAGGTGAGGTGATTGAGAAAGAGAGGGAAGGTCAGTAGGAAACAAGTGTGATGTCAGCAGGTCTGTATGAACCATGTGTCCATCAGTGGGGGAAGTTAACTAACTACATCTAACTAGAAACTGAGGAATCTCTGTCTGTCTGTCTGTCTGTCTGTCTGCCTGTCTGTCTGTCTGTCTGCCTGTCTGTCTGCCTGCCTGCCTGTCTGTCTGTCTGTCTCGCTGTCTGTGTGTCTGTCTGCCTGCCTGCCTGTCTGTCTGCCTGTCTGTCTGTCTGTCTGTCTGTGTGTCTGTCTATGTGTCTGTCTGTCTGTGTGTCTGTCTGTCTGTCTGACCGTCTGTCCGTCTGGCCGTCTGTCCGTCTGTCTGTCTGCCTGCCTGTCTGTCCGTCTGTCTGTCCGTCTGTCCGTCTGTCCGTCCGTCTGTCCGTCTGTCCGTCTGTCTGTCTGCCTGTCTGTCTGTCTGCCTGCCTGTCTGCGAGCTTCTTGGCTCCACTGCTCTGATGTCTTTAGACCATCTCTGATCTCCTGCTTGTGTTTGTTGTCTTCAGGCTCCTCTGGCCACCCAGGACAGTGTACTGGGCATGCTCAGTGTGATGTCATCACTCAGCAACAAAGACAGCGGGATGCTTATAGACTGGCAGGGCAACTCTATCCCCTGGTAGCAGTTACCATGACCACCACACCACACCAACCAGACCAATGATTTCTGCATGTAAACATAACAAAGACACATAAAGCCTGTCAGCTCTAAGCTGTCTCGAAATGCTCTGATTGGACTCTATGGCTGGAAAAATACTTGAGAAATTAATATTTGATAAGATGTTATTGAAACATTCCCTGGTATAATTCATTTGAGGTTAATGTGCGTAGATTAAATTATAAACTGCACTACACTTGCAGACTTTCATATTTCAGTACGTCAAGGGTAGGTTCAAGTCTGTTTTAATACAATACTCACACGTCCATATTTGTATTATTGAGTTATCTGTTGCTGTAATGATTCCGCTGGTCCATACAGGCCCTGAGCTGAGCTGTTCAGTGACTCCACTTTAACTGATGGAAGACAAAATCCATAGCCGTCCTCCTGTGTAAACAAATTCTGTTAAACTGAAGATAAAATGAGGCTTTAGAAGTCTGAGTCAGACATTAAAGTGGTTACTCTGAATGTCCTTGCTGAACTGTGTGGAGTGATACGTCGTGGTCATGGTGCGTATCTTTGTTGCCAACACCAACAATAAGAAACCCACTGGATTTTTCCTGTTTCTGTCTAATGACATGGCTGTTGTGTCTTTCAGAGTATGACGGAGTAAAAATGTCTTGAACTGTTTTCTTTAATCTGTTTTCTTTTATTTCATGTACCTCTGCCTGAAATAAAGTGAACTGAACTGATCTGTGTCCTGTGGTTCAACAGTGCACGGCTCTACACAGACTACATTACACTCTTAGAATGACAGACTATTTCAGACAGGGGTCAGGTCTGAAGTCCTCCAGTCTGCACAGGGGTCAGGAAACACTGAACACATCCTTCTGTCTCCTCTACATATGAAATCTCAGACTCTCCCTTCTTTGGTTATTATTGCCCTCTAGAGGCCACTGGCTCTACAGAGCTCCTGAGCCTTTAGCTCATTGATTTGGTTTACCAGCCAACAACTTGACTGTTTACTGAAAGAAATTTCTAAGGCCAACATTTTGTCAAGTGTGTGATTTTTAGTTTGTTGTGGAAACTTAAAAACTGATAAATCTAACTTTAACTGTATAAAAAAATCTTCCACTGAACTCTGCACCACTCTGTAATTATACTCACTTTCTTTGCACTTGTCTTTGGTTAGATATGTTGTTGTTTACCTTGTTGTCTACCTAAAGCTGCAGCGTCTCAGCACTAAAAGAAGATGGGTTCTTCCTGCGATCTGTCACTTATTTAAATCACTTAAAGCTCCATATTTCCCTCTTCTTCTGTGTTTTATTTTGAAGTGTTGATCCATAAGAAGATATATTTGTGGGTTTAAGAACCAAAAACCATCTCATTGTAGTTTCACATCTCCTCTCTCAGGCTTCTCTCTGGAGCTCTAGTAACAACAGGTTAGTGAGCCAATCAGAAGAGAGGAGGCGCTGAGCCTCTCTTCTGATTGGCTGACTGTTTTCTGAGTGATCCAATAAAAATAAAGCAGATTTCAGGTAAACACTCAGAGAAACCAAATCCTACAAGGTTGAATGGTGGGTCCAGGTGGGCGGGACTTGTGGCATGGCTGAGAGCAGTGACTGCTTTGTTGTGACATCACTAAGTTCCAGAAGTCCTGACGGCTGGTTTTAAGGCTCAGTTTCTGAATACAGGCTGTGTGCATTTCTCTGTGGACTGAGGCTTTGATACTTTCACAGTATTAATATAGAACCTAGACCTGATCTATAATCACACTACACATGAACAGAGACCTTTATAATTAAGTATTATTTCATTGGTTGCCTTTTATGCCTCACATATTCTCTTCCTAATAAAATAAGTGATTGACCAGCAGGTTTGTTTCCAAACTGTTTGATCGTCTGCTTGTGTTTCTTGAAAGAAATTTTTTTATAAACTGTAAGCTGTTTAAATCTACCAGTTTATATTTAACATAAAACTTCCACAGAAAGTGACCAATCAGATTGAACTGGTTTTCATGTCAAAATCAAAATAATGTGGGGTCTTTTTCTTTCTTTGTGCTCACTCCTCAGCACTGACACTTTTGAGAGTTTGGTTTCTAGGTATCTTGAGATAATCTGTGGCGTTCGGTCGGGGCATTAGGGTGAAATACAGATACTTATGCAAATGACCCAAAAACATCTTCAGGGGGGTTGGTGTACGACTGACATTTCACATAAAAAACACACCATGTCAAAATGTCAGAGAAAAGAGGAAAAGCAGGTTTAATTCCACTTGTTGTCTTGAACCTTTTACACTCCTGTTCTCTGATACATGCCTCTTACAAAACAACCTATGTATAGTTTCCATAAAACCAGCTGAGATGGCACCGAAATCATCTTTAACAATGTGGGTGTCTGTAGGCAGCAGTGTTGCCTTCATTGGCGGTGGTTGAACTCGGCGTGGACCACTTCCTGATGACAATCTGCTCAGACATGTGCAGCCGTCAGTCTGTCGTCAGGTGAAGTCTGAACATGTGTGTGTGCTCCAGTGTTTTATTGGAAAGTGTGCCTTTGTCAGGGCTGAAGAGCATAGACGTACTACAACACAGTCATACATATCATCTGGAATTTACACATCCATAACAATAATGATACAAGGATCAAGAATCAGAGCCATAATTATAAGGTATAGCAATAATAATAACAATTATTGATATGGTCTAAAAACTACACTTATGTTTTCATCTTTTCTTCAAAAAAAAAAGCCATATATTTATATTTATATACTGGAAGTTCTTTAGTCTTTTTTTCTTTCTGGTTTTCTGACTAAATTGGTAACTTAAATATTTACAGTGATTATTTTACAACCATTGGCCCAGCCCACTGAGGATAAAATGTTCCTTTGACTCTGTCTGGATTAAAAAGCGCAGTGGAGGGAGGGATGAGAGAGGAATGGTCCCAGTGAGAAGCGAGGTAGAGAGGGAGCAGAGGATGGGTGTGAGGTCAGCGTCCCCGGTCCCAGACAGGGTCCAAGACGGGGTCCCAGACCCCTAGGATCCGGCACCATACAGGGTTTCCCATGCTACATGTCAGAAGTGTAAAGAATAGAAAGCTTCACCCTGTCCAGGCACACAGGGTTTCCAACCTCACACTGGAAGGGTGTACAGGGTTTCCCGCAGCACTTTGTGCTCCAAGGGGTTCCATGTCCTCCTACCTCATGTTGCATGGGTGTACAGAGTCGTCCACCCTGTGGCACAGGGAGGATTTACTGCCCCATATTCCTTGGACATCTCAGTTTGTGTCACTGATTTTTCCTCCTCCACCCTCCGCCCCTACATCACCAGCAGCTGCCCCAGCACCATCCTGAACTGCTGCGTGTACCCTGCCAGCTCCCTCACCCTCTCAGTCATCTCTCTGGCTGCTCCGGGGGAGGGATACTGAAGCGCCGCCGTCTTTGTACTGATCACGATGTCTTTGAGTTTTTCACAGAGGGTGTTGCTGCTCTGCGCCACCCGTGCCCTCACCTCAGGAGACTTGGCCTGTCGCGACAGCGTGTCGCCGATGAACACCAGCTTGTGGGCGCTGAGGATGACGAACTTGCTGTGCGCCACAAAGATCTTGGGCGGCTGGTTAGAGTTGATGGCTGTGAAGAAGGCGTCGATGGCGTTGGTCACTGTGGTGACGTTCTGCTCACACTGCTCTTGGTAGAAGAGGAGGAGCTGCCGGTCAGCATGGCACAGCTTGGAGGAGGAGGGGCCACTAGAGCCGTTCTGTGCCAGCTGGTTGGCCAGAGGGTGGTGGGGGGACGGGACCCAGCCCGTCATGTCGTTGTTGATTGGCCGGCTGACTTCCTGCTCTAGCCGCTCAAACTGTTTAATCTGGAGGAAGAGGAGAAGGAAGGAGACAGTTAATACTAACACATGCTGTAACAATGAGATTCTCTGCTTTCAGCTTCTCAGATGTCACGATGTGCTGCTCTGTGGATCTTTGATGTGCATCTTTCACCAGATTTGACATTTGACATTGACTAATTAATCGATTAATCAAAAACATTATGTCTACATTAATTGATAATCAAAATAATCATTAGCTGCAGCCACTGGTGATTTATTTAAGTGAGGTTGTGTAGGTCACAAATCAAACTTTAACTCTGATACACATTTGAGAAAAACCTCACACAGCAACATCACATCTGATCAGCTCAGTTTCTGTTTGAAAATGAATAAGACCTCTAAGACCAAACTAATCAATGACTATTTAGATGAACCCAAATTTAGTTTTTATTGCCAGATTTTAAAAACGGAAAAAATAAAACATCAAACTGGAAAAATGGTCCAATTCTGCTGTTTGCTCATTCCTTTTTTTCTTTTTTTTTTTGTCTAGTTGAAGAATGAAGAAAGGTCAGTGACACGGAAGTAAAGTTAAATATTTCACAATAAAAGCCCAGAGGATAGTGTGGCCATTCTATAAGTTTAGACGAAGCCTGACTGTTAAGATTCACACATGCACATTGATGATACACACACAGATGTATGTACACGCAAACACACATTAGTAAATAATCATAAATGTATTTATGTGTTTCTCGTCCTCCGCGTCCCTTCTCACACACCCACACACACACACACACGCACAAACGCACCTGTTGCTGTTCCAGTTGTGTCTTGTGTCGAATGATGTTGCCTTTCTCCAGCAGCTGTCTTTGGTTCTTCTCAAACTCCTCCTTTCCCTAACACATCAACGCACAGACACACACGGGTCACCACTTGTACACACACGGTTCATTTACAACATACAGGCTCTGTCGCCCTCTGATGGTGACAGACTGGGACTGCACAAACCTCACAGACACATGTTCTCATTCATCATGGCTGATAGGGGAGTGTGTGTGTGTGTGTGTGTGTGTGTGTGTGTGTGTGAGGCAGAGTGAGTGTGGCTCCACAGAGATGCTGTGTAAGGACCATGACTATAGCCTCATCCCTGGAGTAATCACACACATGTATGCACACGTATGTGGGTGGGAAGGGATGCGGTGGACGAGATGCACGTACATAGGCTTGTGTGATTATTTACTAAAATGAATGAAAGATTGAATAAATGAACTTTATTTATAAAGCTCCTTTCGTACACACAATGCAGCTCTAAGTGCTTCACAATTCAACAACAACAAAAACACAGGTTTGAAACCGAACATACAGAAGGAGGGTTTGTGCATGTGCTTGGGAGAATTATGAAAACTGCTATTTATAAAATAACATAAACACAGCCAATGCTACTGATAAAATAGCACTAATAGAGGTTGTTTAGATAAAGTAAGACATACAGGTGTTAGTTATAAGTTATGTTAAATTGTCATTTAAAACTTTCCACTGAGGCAGCAGGTCTGGGGCCGGTTGCACAAAACACCTTAGGTTAAGATTTTCCTTTAAGTTTGAGTTAAGGTTTCCTTAAAATAAAAACAGTTGAACAAAACAACCTTAACTGTTCTCCTTAAGGTTTCCTTAAAATGTTCACTTAAATATTTAAGGTTTTCACCTTATTTTAGTCTTATACTTCAGGAATCACTTAGTGTCAGTTAAACTGTTGCACAAAAGACCAAAGTTCACCATGATGAAGTTCCCATCAAAACAACAGGAGGATGAGATAGTGGCTTCTTTGATGTTACCAGCAGTGATAACAGGTATCATAAGTGCTAATGGCAGCAAATCAACGGTCTCCATGGAAACAGTCAAATTCTACCGCCGTAAAATCTTTTTCACCACTTTTTTCCT